GGTCGCTCGAGATCAGGAGTTCGAGACCAGCCTGAGTAAGAGCGAAATCCCATCTCTACTGAAAATAGAAAGAAATTAATTGGCCAACTAAAAATATATAGAAAATTATTAGCATGGTGGTGCATGCCATAGTCCAGCTACTCAGGAGGCTGAGGCAGAAGATCGCTTGAGCCCAGAGTTTGAGGTTGCTGTAAGCTAGGCTGACACCATGGCACTCTAGCAGGGGCAACAGAGTGAGACTCTGTCTCAAAAAGAAAAAAGAAAGAAAATTTATTAAACATAATGAGGTGTGTGCTAGCATCACCTAACGTCTGGGGGACCCTAGGCAAGTCTCTTAAGGTTGCCCAGGCTAGAGTGAGTGCCGTGGCATCAGCCTAACTCACGCAACCTCAACTCCTGGGCTCAAGCAATTCACTGCCTCAGCCTCCTGAGTAGCTGGGACTACAGGCATGCACCACCATGCCTGGCTAATTTTTTTTTCCTCTATATATATTAGTTGGCCAATTAATTTCTTTCTATTATAGTAGAGACAGCGGGTCTTGCTCTTGCTCAGGCTGGTTTTGAACTCCTGACCTAGAGCAATCCACCCACCTCGGCCTCCCAGAGTGCTAGGATTACAGGTGTGAGCCATTGCATCCGGCCTAAAATAGGAAGTTAAGAAACCAAAGTGTTTTTTTTTTCAATGAGAGTCCAAAGGCAGTCCCCCACTACCACAAATCATGCAGTCCAGTGTCCCACACCTGGGGAAATCGCAGGGTGCGACACATGCAGAGTGCAATGGGTAATCCTCGCCCTGGGAAAACCACCCTCGTGATCATGGCATGCCCCTGCCGGGTAAGTATGAAACCAGAGTTTTTCAAACGACTTCTTCCCCAATCTTTTTGTGATCCCATCAGTCCTAAGAGAAACCAAGGCTCAAGATGGCCTGGGCAGCTCCTAACCCATACAACATGGCCAGAGGTGCCCAGGGCCACAAAAAGCAGGTGGCAGAATCTAATTCTGACTTTGGAGAATTAAATGGACCTGGTGTGGGTGGCCATTCCTTTTATTCTACGTTGTCTGTCTACGGCTCCCTCGAATTCCAAGCTGTGGGTCGCCAGCAGCCAGCACCAACTTCCCTGGAGAACCAATGAGAGGGTTAGGGATATGGACGCGGGCAGGGCCCGAGGAGAAAGGCTGCCTGGGAAGGGGTCATGACCAGTGAGAAATGGGGGAAGGGAGTCGCCTGGGAGAGTAAGGCGACTGGAAGGGCGGGGCCCTAGGGCCAGGTCCGGTGAGGAGGCTTCGGAAAGGAAAGGTTATTGGATGGGGCAGAGCAGCTAGCTGGTGGGCCCGATCCGACAGACAGACACACACGGCCAGCCCGGAGTGGAAAGAACAGTTTATGCTGTGCTTTATTAAAATGTGCATCATTCTTTTATTTTAAAATGTGCATCATTGTCTCGTGCTCGGCGCGTGCGACCTCAGCGTGGTGGCCCGCGGAGGGCCTCGTCCCCGCCCGGCTCCCGCGGAGCCGCTGTGCGTGGGCGAACTCAGGTGGCGCGGGCCCGGGGGCTCCCGCCCATGGCCAGGTAGACGTCGATGGGCACGTGCAGCAGCGTCAGACAGTGGCAGCCCGGGCAGCGTCGAAGCGGCCTGGAGAAAGCCGGGCGCGACGCGGGGCGCTGAGGAGGGGGCCCAGCCCATCCCGTTGGGGCGCACCCGGGACCCCTGGGATGCGGGCGTGGATGTGGCTGGGGAGCCCTGGGCTGGGAGTGGGGCGGAGCGCGGGGCTGCGGGGAACCTCACCTGACCGGGTTGTGCTCCGTAGCTACCGGCTCCGGGCTGTCCTGGGACTCGGGGGCGGCGGCAAGGCCAGGGGAGTCTCCCGCCTCAATGGGGAATCTTCGACCCTGCGGGGGCTCCTGGGCACTCATGTCCAGGCCCCGGGGCGCTCTGCGCGGGGAGTGGCGGTCAGGCCGCTCCCAGGCCGCAGGGCGCCCCCTCCCCGCGCCCGCCCCTTGGGCCGTTGCTCACCTGCCGGAGGCCGAGGCCGGTCCCAGGCTGGAAGCAGCTGCCCGAGCCCTGGCCGCGGGAGGACGCTCCGGTCCAGGAGGAGCCGGGCAGGTGTCTGCGGCGCGCCCCGGCCCGGGCGTCGAGGGGGAGGGCTGCATTGTGACCCGGGCTGCGGCGCGCTGACCTCACAGAGCCCGTTCCTCCCTCCGGGGAACCCCGCCGGCGCCCCAGGCCGCCCCGGCACTTAGCGCGGGCCGGAGCCCGGAGCTGAAGGCTCCTGCCATGACGCCTTGAGACGGGTCGCGCAGCCCCCCAGCCGCCCGATGGGAGCGCAGGAGGCCAGGGCGACGCGCCGCGAGGAATCCCCGGCCCACGCAGACACCCGGGAGCGCCCTCCCGTGCGGGGCTGCCACTCGCTGCCTGGCGCGGGGGCGGCGGTGACTTAACCTGTGCTCGGTTTGGTGGTGGTGGTGAGGACAGATAGGGGCACTGCCCATTTTGGCCAAGGGTCACACAGCATTTACATCACAATTGGGCCGGAGTTTAAAAATGTCTGGTCCTCTCCCTCCCCACCACCCGCGGTTGTGTCCAGACAGAGAATGTTCTAGCGCTGGGGGCGGCTGCGGATGAAGTCCTTGGGGGGAAAAGAAGCAGGCCAAGGGCGATGGTGGAGTAGAGCTGCCTCGCAGAGGCAGCATGAGCTGAGAGGGTGATAGGAAGGAAGGAGGCGCTAGACAGCATGGAGGACTTTCTGCTCTCCAATGGGTACCAGCTCGGCAAGACCATTGGGGAAGGGACCTACTCAAAAGTCAAAGAAGCATTTTCCAAAAAACACCAAAGAAAGGTGGCAATTAAAATTATAGACAAGATGGGAGGGCCAGAAGGTGAGCTGGGGCCCCTTTGGAGGAAGGGAGGGCTGGCTGAGGTGGGTGGGTGCTTCCCTGGGTCAGAAAGATCATTCCCGCTTCCCTTCTAGTTGGAACCTAGCAAAGCCCCCAGATCAGGGGTCAGGGGTGGGTTACTGGGGAACAGAGGGATGCTGGGAGTTCAGGAACATCACACTCTCCAAAACCCAGGATTAAAGTAGCACGAGGGGAAATATCTGAGCTGGCCAGGCTTCTCCTGTTCCAGGAGGGGAGCAGAGACAGGCAGAGAGTCCACAGCCAGGGCTGGCAGAGGGCAGGAGTTGGCGCCAAGGCCGGTGGAGATGGGAAAAAGGCAGGCAGGGCTCACTGAGAGCTCTGGGGGTCAGGACGCAGGAGCCGGCTCAACCCTGTGGGCAAATCAGGTCTCCTGAGATTCAATGCTTTGTCTACAAGTCCCCAAAGCACCTTATCTGTGCTCTCACAGACTGCTCACAAATGGTCCCTGAGATTAGCAGGGTGTAGTTCCCTTGAATAATATACTAACTACAAAAATAATAGAAGTGAACATTGTTTGCAATGTCTAAGCAGCTAGACACACTTATGACCATCAAGGGAGACAAGAAACAAGACACAGACGCGGCGGGCAGACAAAAGCTAGAAGGCAGGAGACAGGAGTCAGGAGTCAGGTCCTCTGCTCTTGATAGCCCATCTCTCCTCCCCTTCTTTCCTCAGAGTTTATCCAGAGATTCCTGCCTCGGGAGCTCCAGATCGTCCGCACCCTGGACCACAAGAACATCATCCGGGTGTATGAGATGCTGGAGTCTGCTGACGGGAAAATCTACCTGGTGATGGAGCTGGCTGAGGGAGGGGATGTCTTTGACTGCGTGCTGAATGGAGGGCCACTGCCTGAGAGTCGGGCCAAGGCCCTCTTCCGTCAGATGGTCGAGGCCATCCGCTACTGCCATGGCTGTGGCGTGGCCCACCGGGACCTCAAGTGTGAGAATGCTTTGTTGCAGGGCTTCAACCTGAAGCTGACTGACTTTGGCTTCGCCAAGGTGTTGCCCAAATTGCGCCGGGAGCTGAGCCAGACCTTCTGCGGCAGCACAGCCTATGCCGCCCCTGAGGTGCTGCAGGGCATTCCCCACGATAGCAAGAAGGGTGACGTTTGGAGCATGGGCGTGGTCCTGTATGTCATGCTCTGTGCCAGCCTACCTTTTGACGACACAGACATCCCCAAGATGCTGTGGCAGCAGCAGAAAGGGGTGTCCTTCCCCACTCATCTGGGCATCTCGGCCGAATGCCAGGACCTGCTCAAGAGGCTCCTGGAACCAGATATGATCCTCCGGCCTTCAATTGAAGAAGTTAGTTGGCATCCATGGCTAGCAAGCACTTGATAAAAGCAATGGCAAGTCCTCCCCAATAAAGCAAGGGGAGAAAGCAAACCCAAAAACCCGCTTCTAAAATGGTGATATATATTTTACACTTTAAGTTTACCTATGCTAAAACTTAACTATACCCTCCCTAGTGTTGCTGTTCTTTCCCTTTAAATATCTTCATGGAACCAAAGGGCCTTATTCAGACTTCCCTTTTATTATGGCTGACAAGTGATTTTCATACAGGTGTTTAACTAAAGTTAATTAGACCCCAGAATCACACACACACGGGGGAGGAGAGGAGAGGAGGAAAATGACCAAGAGCAATTGGAACCATTGTTGCTGCAACTTCCTTTCCAAATAAAAGCAGAAGCGTTGGGCAGAAATGGCCTCCTGACTCCTTGTCTTGGTGAGGGGCCTGTTGGGGGCCCTGTCCCGTCCTCACCCCAAAGGCCAAGCTGAACCTGAAATGAGGTCAAGGGACTTCCTCCAAACCCAGGCTATCCCCAACCCTGCCTCTGGCTCCAAGCAGGAAGCCACCCCGGCACAAGCATGTGTGTCCCATCCTGGCCCAGTGCAACTGCCATGGGGAACAAAAACAGATCCCCAGACCCCTTCCAGCTTCTGTTGAATCACTTTAATGCTGTTAACGGCAAGTCTGTAAAAGGTTCAGGACAAAGTTTTTTCTTTTTTAATTATAAAACTAACAGCTGTTAGAATCTTTTTTTTCTTTTTCCTTTTTTCTTTTCTCGGCTACAAAATACTCTGGGGGAAATGCATTATAATTTAAAATATATAATATTGCACAAACAACCAAAAGGTTAATTAAACTAAAGAAATAATTACAAAGAGAAAAACCCCATCCCATCAGAAAAAAAGAGTCAGCATTCTCTCCATCCCCCCCCACTGAAGATTTGAAGTGGAAGTGACCACCACTCTCTTGGTGTCCCTGACCATGATCCCTTTAAATCACTGGTGAACACACCAGATTATGTACAAGAATCACCAGAGCAACATCGTGAAGCACCAGGGTCTCCAGGGATTCCTGCAGCGCCTCATTCCCCCAAGAGAAGTGCAGCTTTACCAGAGTGGAGGGTGAGAGCCACAACGGCTGGTGTGTCTTCAGGAAGAAGAGCATTTGCAGAAGCCTGCTGAGCATCTCAAGGTCGCTCCCAGCATATCCCTTCAAGATGTAGAAGGGTTGAGGCGGAGAAGCTGGGCTCACTGGAGTTGTGAGAACTCTGCTTTGATCACTGCTCTGTACCGCTGGTAGCTGGCTTGTGTCCTAAGCTACAGGGGAGTCGAGGTGGGTAGCTGGTTGGACAAGGTATCCTGCCAGGCAACGCACAGAAGGGCCTGAAGTGGCCCCCCCCCATTCTTGGGGAGGGGAAGAAATGCAAGAGCAGACACTCTTGCAGGTGGCACAGCTGGGCTAAGGACTTGGGTGCATCTGACATGAAGAAGCCCTAGGAAAGGCATGGGACGTACCAGAATGGGCTGGAGGAAAGGAAAGAGGTGGGTCAGGGTTTGGTCTCTAGATTTTGAACTCCAAGGAACTTTTCCAGGAATGGAAAATGCCTGGGAAGGGGAGATTTTCAAGAGAGGCAAATTTCCCAGAGATAAGTGCGTCTTACCCACTGGGATAGGAAACAAAATGTGTTCGCTCTCCCTGTTAAGCCAGGGGCAGGTGGCATGGCCATTCTTGCCTGCTTATGGGTAGAGAGAGTGTGTTGTCTCGGCTTCCTCCAAGAGACTGGTGGTTTAGCTTCAGTCTACACAGGCAAAAAGGCCAGAGCTATCTCTTGGGACTTCCCAGCAGGAAGTCCCCAGGAACAGTGGGTATTCAGCAGAGAAATGTAGGCTCTTCTGGTGAGGGGGTTCGGTTTCCTCCCCTTAGGTCATTCTATGGTTGGCACAAGTCAGAATTCCTGGCTTGGATTTAGAGAACCCCTTCCCAGGTATGAGTGGAGGCCCAAAGGGCCAGTGGGGAGCCACCTAGAGTCTGTGCCCAGAGCTCTGGTTGGCAGAGGAGATTTGGGGAACATTCTCAGTCAGTGTCTTCCAGGGCCGAGCTGAGACGAGTGAGGGAGGTGGGAGGTGCTGTGGGTGGGGGAGCAGCTCGCTCTGGCTCCCCTCATTCCCAATCCTCCCACTCTACATCTTCCAGCTGCAGATGGGAGGGAATAATGGAGAGCACAAATACATATTTACTTTTTTGAGTAGCCGAGACCCAACCTCCCCTTGCTAAGCAGAGCTGCCTCCATTTCTGGATAACTGCCTCCACCCCCCACCTAGGCCATACTGGGCCCCCACAGGGCCCCTACTATGAGAGCAAAGCTCTAGTCTAAGGAATGTGTCTGGGGAGCAGAGCTGCCCTCTGCCTGAGAGGTAGAATTTTCTCCTGTTACTACTCTTGGCCTGCTGTCATCTGAGCCCTGGTATGATGGAATGATATGATGGAATGGTATGATGGTGTGACAGAATGATTCTGCTCAGGTATACTGTGTGCCAAGTTTTAAAGGGGGCTACAAAGACACTAAAAGCCAGCAAGCCCCTGTGGCCTGAAAGGGCACCATGGGCCTTCTCTGCCCTGGGTATAGTGAGGTCACAGGTGCAAAATACCCCTGGGTAGGTCACTACCTCCCCCCCAAGGCTTCAGTTTCCCAGTATGAAAAACAAGGCCATAAAAATGTCTCTCTCATCTGTCCACCTCTTTTTAGCAGGTTCACAAGTTACATGAATGACGGAAGGGATCATGTGGTTCATGTATGGTGGTGAAAGTAACACTAACATGAATCAAATGTCTGGGCTGGAGCCTTCTTAGTCCTGTCGCTTATTAGCTGTGAAAGCTTTGGACTGTTTCAGCCTCTCGTTCAAAATGACCCACTCTTTTTTTTTTTTTTTTTGAGACAGTCTCACTCTGTCACCCCAAATAGAGTGCAGTGGCATCATAGCTCACTGCAACCTCAAGCAATCCTCCTGCCTCAGCCTCCCGAGTTGCTGGGATTACAGGCACATGCCACTACACTGGGCTAATTGTTCTATTTTTAGTAGAGGTGGGGTCTCACTCTTGCTCAGGCTGGTCTTGAACTCCTCAGCTCAAGTGATCCTCCCACCTCAGTGCCTCCCAGAGTGCTAGGATTACAGGCTTGAGCCACCACGCCCAGCCTATGACCCACCCTTGATGCTGGGAGGTGGTGAAGAGTAAGAATGATAAGGCCTCTCTGAGCTTAGTAACTGGAATGGGTTTTATGGTGTTATCACTAGTATCTGTCAAGTGCTACTATGTCACAGGCACTGTCCGTATCTACATGTATTACCTCATTACAGCTTATAAGCCAGGCCTTATAATTATAAATTTTATGTTTTAGATGGGGAAATAGGCTCAGGTTAAGTAACTTGATCACTTTCATCTTTTGTTTCCAAGGCCAGGAATCTGCTCAGGTCCCACACCTGAAGATCATGAGTCAGAAAGTCTGGGTGGTGGTCTGTACCTGTATTTTTAAGTAGTTCCCCAGATGATTTTGATACAGAACTAAGGGCAAGATCTCTCCCATCCATCCACGCTGGAACTGGGGGGGAAGCAGAACCTACTGATGACAACTATTGTGGGCCCAAGTGGGAGGCCCCTTCCTGCAACCTGCCACCTCAGATGGAAGCAAGGATCTCCCTGAGGGGACAGATGGGCTTAGTGGGGAGAGCTCGCAGACCCTGGGGTCACTGGGCTTGCTTCCTTCTGGCCAAACAGGCCCACTCACCTCGCCAGAGGCATCCACTTTGGAAAGTGCCATCTGCACTTCTTCTTCAGTCATGTCTAAGTCAAAGTCCTTCTCCCAGTCCTCACTGATGTCCGTGCTTGAGCCTGGAACCATGAGCCACAATGTGAAAGGCAGGCGGGGGGAGGGAAGGGGTACCTGAAGAGGTGGTAGCAGGGGATAACAGTGCTCTTTAAAAGGGCCTAACAAATATAGACTGCAAGTCTTTACATTCTCTTTTCACTCTGGCTCAGCAATCTCACTTTTAGATATCTATTCTAAGGAAAAATCCTGGATTCAGCCAAAATTTAGCCAAATGTTCACTGTAAGTGCCATTATAGTGATAAAAACTTAGAAACAACCTGAAAGTCCAGTGATAGGGGATTACAAAAATAAATGGTGTCATTACATGATGAACACTATGTGGCTTTGAAAGGTTAGGCTGTAAAAGAACTTTATGTCCATGGCAAAACAGTCTTAAACTATTGAGTGAGAAAAAGCAGGTCACTAAAGAACGGAGAAGCACTTTGGCCCAGAGGCTCCAAGGAAGCCACAGAAATCTCCCTGAGGAAACTGAACCTCTTCCTCCTCCCTCCATTCTATCTACACTTATCTGCGCCTCCTGAAGCACACTCCTACCTTGGGCCTTTCACAGGCTGTTCCCTGTACCTGGAACTCTCTTCCCCAGATATTCACAAGGCCAACTTCCTCACCCCTTTCATGCCTTTGCTCAAATCTCACCTTCTAAATGTGGCCTATTCTCATTGTCCTATTTCAAATTGCAACCCATCACCCTTACTCTGCTCTAATTGCTCTTTTTGCCATTATGTTTATCACTTTCTAACATATTATATAATCAGACTTAATATGCTTAGAACTAGAATGTGAGCTCCACGAGGGCAGGGATCTTTGTTTTGTTTATTTCAAGTGCCTGAAAGACATAGTTGGCACTCAATAAATATTCACGGACCCTCTTCTCTAAACCAGGGGTTGGCAAACTATGGCCCCTGGATCAAATCCAGCCAATCACTTATTTTTGGAAATAAAATTCTGGATCACAGCCATGTCCATTTGTTTACATATTATCTATTGCTGCTTTTATGCTACAACAGCAGAGTTGGGTAATTTCAACAGAAATATTTCTCGAAAAGTCTAAAATATTTATGGTCTGGCCTTATGCAGAAAAAGTTTACCAACCCTTGCTGTAGGTGGTTCTGATGCCTGCTGAAGTTTGACAACCACTACTCTAAACATTCATATTTGGGTATGATTTTTTATGTGAAATATTAAATATGTATATGTGAAAGTTATTACCAAGAAGCAAATTATACAAAT